GTATGAATCATGCAACTTAAACAGCCAGGTCAGTAGGCTTAGAGTTTTAAGAGTCACAAAGTCTTTAAGAAATGTACTTAAAAATTTTTTATTTAAAAAGAATTGTACTCTTTAACTACTCTTATTATGGAGTGGTTAGAAAGTTTTCCTGTACTAGAGTTATTTCAAACACAGCACCACGATAATCCCTTATATAGCATCCGGTAAAGAAGCAAAGGTAATATTACTTATTGACAAGAATGACATTTTATTAGAGCAAAGATGATACTATAAGCAGATGTGAGAGAGAAGCCTGTTAGTTCCTTCAGGCAGAGGTGAGTAATACACTGGCAGCCCTTAATTAGACTGGTCTCTTTCTGGATCTGGATACTCCGATCTCCATAAAACACTTAAGAATCATCCTGATCTCATCAATACCAAAAGACGTTTACTCTGCATATGATTTATCTCACCTATTTAATGAAAACTCTACCAGATTCAATCTCAGGTAATATTCTCCAGCCTTGATTTAAAAGAGGGGCAGGGTAATGTGCAGATGGAATGACACCTTGACGTTCTATGACACAGTCCTATATGGTACTACTCAGTCATCCCTCAAAGTAGCATAGTGTCTCCATCAGTCTTGGCTTCACACTGTCTCTCAATAGGACAGTCAGGTGAGGCAGCAGCTTCTGCTGTGCTTTGAAAATAATTTTAAATTACCCGAAAATACACAATGCCATTTACCCAATCATACGTAAACTTGAAGCGCTAAGGGCTTTAAACCATATAATCAAATTCTCTTATTTTAAAATCCAAATTTCACAGGGCACCTGGGTGGCTCAGTCGGCTGGGTGTCCGACTTCAGCTCAGGTCATGATCTCACGGTTCGTGGATCTCACAGTTCAAGCCCTGCGTCTGGCTCTGTGCTGGCGGCTGGCTCAGCGCCTGGAGCCTGCTTCTAATTCTATGTCTCCCTCTCTCTCTGACCCTCCCCTGCTCACGCTGTCTCTATCTCTCTCTCAGAAATAAAGAAAACATTAAAAAAAAATTTTAACCCAAATTTTACTAAAATTATTTTCACTGTGAATAGGAAAATACTTTTCAGTAAGAGAAATTCCTAAATCAATAGTCACTTCTAGAATGGAGACTCTTTTTTGAAATCTAATGATAACACTGCCATTGAATATATTTTCATTCTAAAATTCTCTTGATTTCTCATTTCTGTGTATCTTTTTCTTAAATGAATCTTTTCTTCTCTCTTATCTGGGAGAATCCAAACCAAAGACACACAAAGCTAAAATGGATGAATCAGGATTAGCAGTAAGACGTGTTATTTCAGCAAATTAACTCAACTAAATTTGGTTTAACTTACATAGCATTAGGCATACTCCAATCTCTCTCAGAAGTTATCACCAAATTTTTTTTTAATACAGACATTAAAGTTAGCTGGGCCCATGAATCTTTCATAGTAGTAGCGTTGACAAGAAAAACAATCAACAAAAACCTAAGGGGAGTTTCAGGACTAAACCATTTGGGGAAGCTATGGCTATTGCCTGCACACACTTCCAAATAAATCAAGAAGTTCTGTACGCCAGGGGCGCCTGGGTGGCTCACTCGGTTAAGCATCTGACTTTGGCTCAGGTCATGATCTCACAATCTATGGATTCGAGCCCATCAGGCTCTGTGCTGACAGCTCAGAGCCTGGAGCCTGCTTCAGATTCTTTGTCTCCCTCTCTCTGTCCCTCTCCCTACTTGTGCTGCCTCTCTCTCAAAAATAAGTATTAAGGAAAAATAAAAAAAGAAATAAAAAAAGAAATTCTATACCCTAGAAATTGGGGAAGGCAGAAGAAATGAGTTCCAAAACCTTGCAACTTAGTTCCACTGAACACCATTATGATTCTGCACGGCAAATAAACTGGCAAGAGATGAGATGGTTCTGAAGCAGTCCTTCCCACTGACTGGGTCAAGAAACCCACTTAGCACTAACTCATTAAAAGCTGACAACAGGGGAGCCTGGGTGGCTCAGTAGGTTAAGTGGGACTTCAGCTCAGGTCATGATTCATGCTCACGGTTCATGGGTTCCAGCCCCGCATCGGACTATGTGCTGACAGCTAGCTCAGAGCCTGGAGCCTGTTTCAGATTCTGTGTCTCCCTCTCTCTCTCACTCTGACGGTCCCCTGCTCAGGCTGTCTCTCTGTCGTTCTCTCTCTCTCTCTCTCTCTCTCTCTCTCTCTCTCTCTCAGAAATTTAAAAAAAAAAAAAAGCTGACAATAAATCTCAATAGTCCACTTCTGGTGTTCAGAGAGAACAACTCTCAGGGACAACTGTTCTTGTGATCCAACTAGCACAAGAGTAGCACCCTTTTGAGATGCAAACTACATCTAGACAAAGAAAAGCTTTATTCCAGAAAACCTGGCTCCGGATACCCTCAGAAGGACATCTGGTTTCCCATAACATTCATCCAGTTCAAGAAACAACGCATGCCGACTGTCTGCTAAGTACTTACAATGAAGGAATCTCAAGTTTACATAAAAAATTATTTTTGAAATTAACTTTTCAACATTTTACTATATATGTGGAAATCATATTGCTGACTTACCAGTGTTTGAGTTGTTTTTTTTTTTTCAGTAGCAGAGTCAGGTTTGTACTGAACCAGATACTTACTGACCTGATCAATCTTACAACCGACATGTTCAAGGTGACGGTCTAGGGTTAAGGATACAGAAATGGCCAGGAAACAAGATGAAACTCACTGGCTCATGTATGAGTCAAACCTCACTATACCTTTTTCTAAAAAGGCAATGACAACAATGATTTACTAAGTGTTTCTTCCCTCCTCCTCAATTTACTCTTTTCTACTGCAGTCCTCAATCTGAATTCTACCAATCCTTCAAAACTCAATTTAAATGCCATCTCAACAGTAACTTCTTCCATGACTTCACATCACCAACGCTACTGTACCCTCTTCTCACTGAATTCTAAACCATATATTATCCATCCTCATTCACCTGTTGTTACTTTTTCCATGTTTGTCTGGTCTTTCCAACAAAACTGTGAGGTCTTTAAGGGCAGGAACCATGTATTCCTTGGTACTGCCTCCAGGATATTCTGCTGGGAACCTTACATGTACACAGGAAGTATTCAGTTATATTTAACTGCATTGAGTTTCAACTTACAAATCAGGTATGACAGACAATAAATGAGACTCAAAAGATCAATAAGTTCTCCTCCAGGCATCAAACTAAGACTTCTAAAAACACCTACTAAGTCTTTCAAACTACCCCTTTTCAAAAGCATGAAGCAGGGACTTGAGAAGTTAAGAGAAGATATAATAAGCTGTGGCAAGTTAGACTGTTTTCTCATTTTTTAAAGCAAACAGTGAGCAGCACTTAAAGATCAGAAGACCACAATGTTCAACAAGGCATCGCATTCAGCATGTCACTGGTCACACATACTGGCTGAATCCCAAACTCCCTCTCTGTGGTTAAGAGAGGTTTCCAGAGGCTTTGGTGTCTGCTGACCAAAAAAAAAAAAAAAAAGCAAAAACAAACAAACCAAAAAAACCCACAAGGCATCTGCTCTTCTTAGCCCTAAAATATGGCAAAAAGTGTGCGCACACATACACAGCCCAATCGGCAAGCAAAAGTGAAACAGCACATCGATGAAACTATGTCCCTGGAGTTATAGGGAGTGGGGCAAATAGAGGAAAGAAAATGCCATAAAAGCCTGAAGAGTCACTTTTAGGTGAAAAGACTAAAATAAAATACCCTTTAGACCTTATATCCTTAATTCACTAGATAGACTCCATCTATTTCTAAGGAATAAGACACACAGACAGACTTTAGCAGGTTTTCTCGCAGACCGCACTGAGACACCATAAACACGGAGGTGAGTCCTGATGTAGCCACCCTGTCTTAAGGCTGAACCTGGATATTTCCAAAGAAAAGAACAACCATAAGTAATTCTCAAGATGGCTGGCCAAGGGCAGAATTACCATTCATCCGTGTGGCTCTCCTTGCAGTAGCTCATAAGCCAACCCAAAAGAGCCGGGTCTGGAGGGTTGCAGCTGGCTTGCTTGCTGCAGAAGCACATTTTTTACAGCCACAGCACCACCTCTCTGGAGGCTGGTGGACAGTCCGGCAGAAACGGGTGAAAACCAATTTTATGTCAAAGGACGCAGCCCCCAGCATTCCGTCCTGGATCTTTTCTGATTAAGAGACAGACTCGGGGAAAAAAAAAAAAAGAGAGAGACAGACTCGGAGAAGGGGGACAAGGGCGGCAGGTGGTGCACAAGCAAGCTGCAACAATACGCCCTGCCTTCTTCCCAGAGCCATTTCCTTCAACAGTGACAGGGAGTCACGGGCGGTCTGCAAGTCATTAGTACACTTGTTTTCACTTTCACAAGAACCCTGGAAGCCGCTGAAGGGCAAAATCCCCTCACCTCCCCAGAGTTACCTTCCAACCCTCTTTTTCTCTCGGTGCTAGCTTCCTACCTTCCCTAGGGACAACGGAAGAGGGACAATCCTCAGCCACCCGCTATTTGGCTCCACTGGGGAGGGGGGAGGGGGAGGGGGAGAGGGCTCTGGTTAAAAGTGGAAAAGGCCGTAGAGGAAGGTGAGAAAACTGCAGAAAGAGTATCGAGGATGCGGGCGGAGGGAAGAGGTCATCGTGGGAAGGAGACAAGAGTGAAAAAGAAGGAAAGAAAAATCGAGGAGAAGAGTTGTCAGAAAACTTGATCGACAAAGCTAAGATCGACAAAAAGATGGAGGGGAGCGGGTACAGGGATGAGAGAGGAGCGAGGGGCAGGTGGACCGTCCGAGGGGGTAAAGGGCCGGGCGGGAGCTCGGGGGCCGGGGCTGGGACGCCCGGGGTCTGGAGCCCGCCACAGGGGAACAGCGAGCAGCGGGGTATTTGGAAGACTGAAGTCAGAGGGACCCGGGCTGCGGGGAACCCATTCGGGGACTTCGGGGCTCGGGAGCCAGGCGGATGCCCAAGCGCGGAGGGCACAGGGCTCTTACCGGTAGTTTGGGGCTGACCTCGCCCTTGCAAAAGTGGCAGAAGAACCGGTGCGCGGCCACAGCAGCGCCTGCGCCCGCCCCGGCCGCCGAGGCCTCCGCCATCTTTCTCTTCCGCCGCCGCTGTCCGAGAGGGCAGCGGCCCGTCCCTCGCCAGGCCGCTACCTCCCGGCTGCGGTCGCCGCCCTCGGCCGCCGCCGCCGCTCCCTCAGCGCGGCCCGCGGCTCCAGAGCCCGCGTCGGTCACGTGAGGCCGCCGAGGCCGCCGGACCCAGCGAGCGGGCGGCGCGGACGGCGACCCCGCGGCCCGCCTCCCGGCACCAGCGAGGCGCAGGAAGGAGAGTCCGTCCGCCGCGGCCCGCCAGTCGGCTCTTCTCTTCAGACGGCGGCTCGCAGGTCCTCCAGCCTTCCAACGAGAGCAAAGAAAGAGCGTCACCGGAAACCACCGAAACTCTGGGGTAGAGCGGCACGCGGCGTTTCCCTTTCCCTCCTCCTGGAGGTCCGTGCGCCGTGGGCTTGCTCCGCGGAGTTAGACTGCGTGGACACAGAGGTTAGTGGGGGATGCTGCCTGGACGAAACGGCCCTGTCTCCAGATCAGGGGTCCCAGTCTGGAACGGGAAGCTGCGAGAACGGTGTGAAGAGTCAGGCGCTGAGCTCCTTGGAAGTCCTTTTCTGAGGATGCTTGCCCAAAGACGTGTGGGTGGGAATACGGAGGCTGAGAGGCAAAGACACGGCCCCTGGGGATCTGGGAGCATAAATGAACCGATCAGTGTTTGGTAGCGCTTGGGATAACAAGGAGGTCGTTATGCTGTAGAGTCGACTATGTCTGTTTCTGTTTGCGTCTACTTTGTCAAGAAGTAGAATTTCAGAATTAAATACTGCCCTTCAGACAACATACTTCATCTCCTATTTGAAATACCCAGTTGAGAAGTTTCCCTTTATTTTATTTTCCTAAGTTGTAATTTCCTTTATGGACTGGGAGTGCCATTGCCTGTTCACTCCCAGTGGGCTGTGAACAGGGGCCTTAATTCTTCCAAGCAAATGAAATATGGAATTTAAGGTCTATGACATTACAAAAACCATCTACGACAATTTTTGAAGATGAGAATCGCACCTAATCCCATCAAGGTCAATTTGTCATATAGTCTTCCAGTCGTTTGTCTTTTTTTCTATGTGCACATACTTCCTTTTTTTTTCATAATAATTGAATTTTCCTGTACACTTTGCTTTGTGACCTGCTTCTTCCACTTAATGAACAATTTTCTATGCTTATACATGAACTTTGTTTTAAGTGGTGGGGTAGTATTTCACGATAAGGGTGTGCCATCATTTACTGAATTAATTCCTTATTGTTAGACATAAGGTTGTTTAAGAAGTACAGTGACACCTTTTTATTATTTTCTTGAGACAGAGTATCTCAAATGAAATTATTAGGTTGAAGGGATGCAAGATTTTAAGGCTTTTGATACGTAATGTCAAACTTGCCCCCAGAAAGTACATGAATTTGCACTCAGAAGCTCTGCTTCCAGCATCAAAGAAAAACCTTCCATCATACAGTCTTTTTTCCCCCTAGATCTGAGACTCCTTGGTAAAATGACTCAAGCAGAAATTAAACTGTGTTCTTTGTTGCTGCAAGAGCATTTTGGAGAGATCGTAGAAAAAATTGGAGTCCATCTAATCAGAACTGGCAGCCAGCCATTAAGAGTAATTGCCCACGACACAGGAACGTCGCTGGATCAGGTATGTGTGCTGACGTTAATTTGTTTTTACTCGTTTACCTGCCTTTAAATGCTGTTGCTCCTTACCCCACAAAATAGAAAAGGGAGAGAGTCTCCCCCAGGTTCGAAACAGTGTCGTGGTGGGGGAGGGGGGGAGATATAGGCCTCAAGGTTCTTCTCAAGGTGGTTCATGACAGCTTCTTAGACAAATCTTTGTTCTTATTATGCCAGACCTCATTATTCATAATGTGTCTATTAATCTCAGTGTGACCTTAAGGAATGAGAATAATGGAGAGGAAGTACATTGTACTTTGAATGATTAGAGGAAATATGAGCATCACAGGGAGAAATCTTGCTGATTTGTTTCATTGACATGTGATTCGTAATAACTGTGCCAGTGGAGGGAAGGAAGAAGCAGAGATCCTCAGCCAGCCATCTCCTAACAGTTAGTAAACTGTTGGACAAAAGTTGGCAACGCAAGCGAGCTGTGTCTTCAGATCTTCCTTTTCTTTCTTCTGGGTCCCGTCTAGGTCAAAAAAGCCCTTTGTGTGCTCATCCAGCATAACCTGGTAGTATATCAGGTGCACAAACGTGGCGTTGTGGAGTATGAAGCCCAATGCAGCCGAGTGTTGCGAATGCTTAGGTATCCCCGGTACATCTACACTGCCAAAACACTGTACAGTGACACCGGGGAGCTGATTGTCGAGGAGCTGCTGTTGAATGGCAAAATGACGATGTCAGCTGTTGTGAAGAAAGTGGCAGACCGGCTTACAGAGACTATGGAGGGTCAGTACTGTGTCCCCAGCAAAAGCACAGGCTGCCTGGCTGCAGGAGTGGGCCCTCAGCGGACGTAGGCCGTCTCACCCACCTCTTTCCCCCCGTTGTACAGATGGGAAGACCATGGACTACTCTGAGGTATCGAACACCTTTGTGCGACTAGCAGACACCCACTTCGTGCAGCGTTGCCCCTGGGTGCCTGTTACTGAGAATTCAGACCCTGGGCCACCACCACCTGCTCCCATTCTTGTCATCAGTGAAAAGGACATGTACTTGGTTCCTAAACTGAGCTTGATAGGTAAGGAATGTTAACCCCTAGACCTATGACTTGCCCTAATTGTGGATTCTTCCTCAATGCTCGTTAAACGAACGAAGGAATCGATCGAGCGGTTACCCAGGATTTCCTCTGTGCCAGATACTGTGGTGTAAAATGATGAAAACACAAGTCCCTTTTGGGCCTTAAGTCAGTCTCCTGTAAGAGACTCACCTTAATCAAATAACCACATAGATGTGTAACTAACAAACTGTGGTAAGTATTATGAAGGAGAAGTATGAGGTGTTATGAAAACATATGACAGAAGACCAGATTTATCAGGGTTTAGAACACATGCTTCTTTAAGAAAGTGGCATTTGAACTAATATTTGAAACAAAAGTAGGAACTAACCAGTGAGGTCATGTATGAAGGGGGACAGAGGGTAAACATTTTTTGCAAACGGAATAGTATGCAGTGAGGAACAAAAATAGGATATTTGAGGAAGTAAGAGATAAGTCGGTGTAGTTCAAGCAGGGTGAGCAAAGGTAAGAGAACAATGAGATAAGGGTAGCAATAGGCAGGGAGGTGCCTGGGTGGCTCAGTCAGTTACGCTTCTGACTCTTGATTTCGCCCAGGTCATGCTTTCACAGTTGATAAGATCAAGCCCCACGTCAGCTCCATTCTGACAGCGCAGAGCCTGCTTGGGACTGGCTCTCTCTCTCTTTCAAAATACATAAATAAACTTAGAAAGAAAGATAGGCAGGGACTAGATCATGCAAGAACTTCTATAGCAACTGTTTTTTATCGTGAGAGCAAAGGAAAACCACTAAAGGATTTAAAGGAAGGGACATGACCTTATTTGCATTTTTATTCACTAACTTGAATTTCGTGTAGCTCCTTGGCCTCCTCAGCAACTTTAACCTAGAGGCAGCTGGAGACGTCTTGGGGTGGAGGGACCCTGCTCTGAGGGTCAGTGATTTCCTGTGTTCATCCGAGATGTGGCCTGACTGGGCACCTGTTGTCTTTGGCAGGAAAAGGAAAAAGGAGAAGATCATCTGATGAGGACGCCGCTGGAGAGCCCAAGGCCAAACGACCAAAACACGGCGCAGATCACAAAGAGGTACTGGGGGCTTGGTGAGCAGGAGTCCTCACCCTGAGGCAAGGCAGAGACAGCACTGAGGTAACAAGCCCCAAAAGAGTTGACGAGGTCCTTGGTGGGGAAGGAGTAGGATTGCAAACTTCATTAAATATTGGCCAGGGATAAACTAACGAAGTGTGAACTCCATTGCCGTCCCCTTCTGAGGCTTAACCTTAACTTCAGTCATTGGACAGAGGTAACAGCTTATGCCAGGAAAAAGGCTGCCTGTTCTCTCTCTGAAGTAAGAGGCAGGGTCATCCACTGAGAGCAAGCAGAGAGGGGTCCATGGGAGATTTAAGGAAGAGTCCAGACAGAGAAAGATTAGAAGTGAGTGTAGAGGATCTGAAGTGGGGGACTGTGAGTTTGCCTTGTCAAGGCAGTGTTCCACATGATCGCGGGATTTTTGTCCACCCCACGTAGTTGCTACTGGGTAGGAAGAGAAATTGCGGACAGTTAAATCCAGTTCTTCCCCAAAAACCTCTTCCCCATATTCACCGTATCTAAATGTTTCCCTTCAATCCTTTTCTCCTCAGCCCATTCCAGACGATGGGATTTACTGGCAGGCCAACCTTGACAGATTCCACCAGCACTTCCGCGACCAAGCCATTGTCAGCGCAGTTGCCAACAGGATGGACCAGGTGATACCTGAGTGGGTGGGACGGTGGCCCGGATCAGGAGCATTCACTTATTTGCCAGAGGTGGCCATTGGCATACAGCCAGAGCCAGCGCAGCGGAGTGAATTCTGAATTCCAGTTCACTTTTCAAACCCAGACCAGCAGCGAGATCGTGCGGACTATGCTCCGGATGAGTGAGATTACCACTCCCTCTACCGCTCCCTTCACCCAGCCGTTGTCCTCCAACGAGGTGACTTTCACGTTCTTGTGCTCATTTTCTGACACTCCATCGGCTAGTCTGATTCTGCTACATAGCACCTGGGATTCGTTTTTATTGTTGGAGGCAGAACAGGGATTCTCTTCAGATGGTAGCTACTGAAATATTTGGCCTTGGAGCACCTGAATTGTTCGGTCGATTAAGCATCTGACTCTTGACTTTGGCTCAGGTCATGATTTCATGGTCCATGAGATCAAGTCCTTCATTGGGCTCCACACTGACAGGGCTCAGCACTGACAACCCAGAGCCTGCTTTGGATTCTCACTCTCCCTTTCTCTGCCCCTTCCTTGATCTCACGCACTCATACTCTCCCTGTCTCTCTCCCTCAAAATAAATAAATAAACATTTAAAAAAGGAAGGGAGGAGGGCGCCTGGGTGGCTCAATCGGTTAAGTGTCCAACTTCGGCTCAGGGCATGATCTTGTGGTTCGTGGGTTCGAGCCCTGTATTGGGTTCTGTGCTGGCAGCTCAGAGCCTGGAGCCTGTTTTAGATGCTGTGTCTCCCTCTCCCTCTGCCCCTCCCCCACTCATGCTCTGTCTCTCTGTCTCAAAAATAAATAAAAACTGTTTAAAAAAAAAAAGGAAAAAGGGAAGGAAGAGAGAGGGAGGAAGGAAGGAAGGAAGGAAGATTGATTTGGTCTCTAGGGATCCAGCCTTTAAAAACCTAAACCGTTATCTTGGTCAAAGTACAAGCTCTTCCTAATTGTTCTTAGAATCCAGTATTTGGAATCTGAGAACCTTTGTTGGTGCTCAAAACATGATTTGGCCCCTTATATTTGTTTTGTTCAGTATATTCATTTTGTGTAGTTCAAATTTGTTTTTAATATATCTATTTCTTGAAATAGGAGTACTTAATGTATCAAGTACATTTATTTATATTCAATTGCATAATATTTATCCATATAAATACAGATGTATTGTCATTTATATTATTTAAAATTTTTTAAACTTGTTATATAACAAAGATTTCAGTTTTTTTTTTTTGACAAAAGTTATTACGTGACCTATATTCAAACAGCATAGAAATGTATAATTTTTTTTAAGTTGGAGTCCCCTTAACTGTTAGGAATGGTGGAGATATTCTGTATCTTATTGTGGGTGTAATTGTCAACACTCATAAAATTGAACCTCTAAGATCTGGGCTTGTTTTATGTAACATTACCTCAGTTTAAATATATAGTTTTGTGTGATCCCAGCCCCAGGGGTTCCTGCCAATAGGTGGTGCTTATCTTTATTGTCACATTTATGTAGAGACATATATATATATATTTTAGCAAAAAAAATGGGATTTTACTCTACATATTGTTCTCACGGTCCCTTTTTCATGTGACACTGTATCTGAGCCACCTTTTTCATGTCCGTGTGTATAAATCTACCTCATTTTCCATAACGGCAGTATCATATTCCACTTAGTAGCCATGCTGTACTTTATTTTATTTTATTTTTTTAAATTTTTTTTTAATTTTTTTTTTTTTATTTCTAGGAGAGAGAGAGAGAGAGACAGCGTGAGCAGGGGAGGGTCAGAGAGAGAGGGAGTCACAGACTGAAATAGGCTCCAGGCTCTGAGCCGGCAGTCAGCACAGAGCCCGACACGGGGCTCGAACCCACAAACCACGAGATCAGGACCTAAGCGAAAGTCGGACGCTTAACCGACTAAGCCACCCAGGCGCCCCGCTGTACTTTATTTTAATCAGTTTCTTATTATCGTGCACTTGGACTGTTTCTAGTTTTTTACTCTTAAAAACAATGCTGCTAAAATGAAAACATCAGTATTTCAGTAATGTCAGCCATCCTAAGTTCCCAAACCCATTTTCCCCATCTCTTTTTGCTCTCTAGATCTTTAGATCCCTACCTGTTGGCTATAACATCTCTAAACAAGTTCTCGATCAGTATCTCACTCTACTGGCAGACGACCCAGTAAGTCTGTTTTTGCTTTTTTACGGTTTATTTCTGCCACTGAAACTTGGTATGCTCAGCGGCCTCACTCCCTGCCCAGCCCTCTCAGACAGCCGCTCTGCTGTCATCCGGTGGGAGGGCCGCCTGCCGCACACTCTTGGCCAGATTTGCTCCTTTGGAAACAGAATCACTGGACTTTCCATTCAATTAACACACTCTCTTTCTCTCTCTCTCTCTCTCTCTTTTTTAATAGCTAGAGTTTGTTGGAAAGTCTGGCGACAGTGGTGGAGGAATGTATGTCATCAGTATCCTTACGAGTTATTTCCTTACAGTTGGGCAGCCTGAGCTATGAAACGAAATAGTGACTTACGAAAGAAGAGATTGGATAATATTTAGTACAATTAATAATTTAGAAAGTAGAACTACATCATTTATGACAAAGAAGTAAAATGGGCTTTTAAGTAACCAAATTTTAGTTCAGCAAAACCCTGACTTAAATCCTAGTAAATTGAGGTATTGAAATACTTACATCCTAGAAATGAGACCAAGGTGAAAGATAAAATTGCATTTAAATTTTAACTTACAGACTTAGGAATAAAGCTAAGATCCCAGGGACCAGGCTGAAATGTTACGGACCTTAATCCTCTACATGAAGACCTGCATAAAGCTCTAGGATCCCTAGCCACAGCCACTCTGGAGTCTGTTGTACAGGAGAGGTAAGGGGGTCACCCTGCTCAGGGTGGGGGTCAGACACTTCCACGCTCCATTGAATAAGCAATGTGATCAATATGTAAGCAGTCAATGTAGATACATCTTGGTGCATCTTGCACCATTTTTCCACTGGGCTGGTACAGCTCCCATCCACTACTACTCTTCACCCTAAATATCCTACTGCTTAATTCCCAATGATGCCAATTAACCAGACCTCCTAAAGCCTTTCTTTACAAATGCAGGAACTGAGGTACTTATGATTAGCAGCACCGCCATCAGTCTCTGGAGTTGGGAAAGGAATCCCTGACCGCTGCTCTTCTCTCTGGTCCCGGCTCTGTACATGGAAACAGAGCAGCCACCATTTGCGACTCGGACGAAAACTTACCTATGTTGGTATGCCATTTATTTTCTTTATTCCTTTCCAGATTTGGGTCTCGCTGTGCCAGAATATTCCGTCTAGTTTTGCAAAAGAAACACCTGGAGCAGAAACAGGTAGAAGACTTTGCAATGATTCCAGCAAAGGAGGCGAAGGATATGCTTTATAAGATGCTCTCAGAAAATTTCATATCACTCCAGGTAACCGATGGCACAATGGTCACCAACCGGTGGGACTGGCCTAGGGCGAAAGAAACTCCTGAGACAGACATCCTGAGCCCCACGCAATCTCCCTGTCCAGGTCTGAGATGGAAAAAAAAGATTCACAAAGACATAGCAAGCACTTGAAAGAGAACTGGGAAGCTTTAAGTGGCCTAGTTGAAAAGAGGCACAGCCAAGAAATCACCCCAGAAATCTCCCTTTTTTCCTCAGCTCCTAGTCCCTGCGATTTGTCCTTTCTTCCGGCCTTGGGTTTATTACAGATTAAATCTCTCAGTAGCATCTACTGGGTCTTCACTACATGCAGAGCCACAAATTATATACCCTGTGAGGAAACAGAATCTCAATTCTGCCTCTGACTCAAATATATTGAGCAGATTACCCACCGTCATTTTTTCTCATCCATAAATGATGATGGATGGTGGTAATAAAAATAATACGGTTTATCTTAAAGATCAAACACAGTCAGTAACCTTCAGTTGCCTTCTCTTTCTTCCCCACTGAGGCTGCCCACAGTCATACAGGAAAGTCTCTTCCTGTGGCTGACTTTGCCATAAACCCAGGTGCTGAATGACTGGAGAAGAGGAAAGTATCCGTGAAAGAAAGGGCTGAGTAGCTCTGGACGGGACAGGTGTTTACTTTGCCAGTTCCAAAGAACAGTTTGATTTCTCTTCTCTGTCTTTCTGTGGACAAATAGGAAATTCCCAAAACGCCAGACCATGCCCCATCCAGGACCTTCTATTTATATGCCGTGAACATCCTGTCAGCTGCGCGAATGTTGCTGCACAGGTGCTACAAGGTAACTCTTTCTGGACTTTCTCCCCATCCCTTTCACACAGACCAGTCTCACCCCCGTGCCCCCATTCGCCATTTTACCTGAGCCACTGAAATAGAAGCATGTGCATTTCTGTCTGTCTTCTCTCCCCTCAGAGCATTGCCAACTTAATAGAAAGGAGACAGTTTGAAACCAAAGAGAACAAGTGAGTAGCATTTTGCATTTGAGTAAGTACATTTTCAAGGTCAAAGCCTTGAAGGGAAATTTCCTGTAGAGATAGAAACCAAAAGAGACAATAAGCAGTTTAGTTGCACTGAATTCGTCTTAGGTTGACATAATCATACATTAGTGTAAACTGCTCCAATATACCCCCAGTAAAATAATTTCACAGATTAAATTTATAAAAGACGTACAAACTGGCATTAAATGTTAAGGGCAGGTGAGAGGCAGTAAGTAAGAGTTTGAGGAGTGAAGTCATATGTTTATTTAAATTTGTAAGAACTGTTGTCACTGGGTGACGATAATCCATTTGGTCAGGAACGTGGGAGAAGGGGGACTTCTGCCCTAAGGCTAATGGGTAAAAGGATCTCTAAGGTGAGGGGACACGCCTCAGAGTTTGTCTGTCTGATAGGCGTCTGCTAGAAAAGTCTCAGAGGGTGGAAGCCATCATTGCATCTATGCAGGCGACAGGCGCCGAGGACGCACAGCTACAGGAAATAGAGGAGATGATCACAGCCCCCGAGCGGCAGCAGCTAGAAGCCCTGAAGCGTAATGTGAACAAGTGAGCCTCATAAAGCGCAAACCTGTGTTTCAAAATACCTTTCCGATGAGTCTACCTCGGGGCCCTGCTACCACTCTGACTTCACCCAAGCAAACCCAAACTCACTGTCTTCTTCCCGGGCTCGGCTGGCAGAATGTAATCCACCTGCTTTCCGAAGCAAGGCCCTCTGAAAGTGTCTTCAGCGTCTCCTCCCTTACCGCACGCTCTGATTCACCAGGGCTGTTGATTTAACTGAGCAACATGCCTCAAATCTGGCCTTTCATCTTGCTCCTTGAGCAGGCCACCATCACTTCTTTTCTAGACCTCTGCAGTCACCTACCCCTTCAGACTATCTCGTAAAATGCCCTCGAGTCCATTTGCCCTGGCCGCTGATCTTAAGTATGCTGATGAATGTTCAGTCTGAAAAAAATGCTTTCACTTTTTCACTCAGGTTGGATGCCAGTGAGATCCAAGTGGATGAAACCATCTTCCTGCTGGAGTCCTACATCGACAGCACCATGAAGAGACAATGACCCGGAAGAAGAGCCTTCCTCAGCACGTCTGAGGAGATTGTAAGGAAGAATAAAGGCAGTGCCTGATGCTTTCTTTACAGTGGGATATGTTGCAGATTCTTACACTGAAACGCCTTTCCATCCTTATTGCCCAGAATACACGAGAAAGTTTTTTAAGGTTTGCCGATCCTGTCTTAGCCGCATCACTATATTCTCCCTTCATCAGGTCTTGACGGAGGAAAGGACCTTAAATCAGCTTGATTAATCCTCTGTCAGATGCATCATTTCCCAACAGGATGTCAGCGGAGCCTGTGTTTGAACGTCCCTAACGGTGGAATAAACTTTTTCCTGAGCAGTTCATTCCATTCTCAAAAGGCTACACCTGTTCTCCATTTTGTTAAATTGTAAACTTACACACCCAGTAGGGAATAAAAACTGTTTTCAGGGCCAGCAGGTGGATTGGTCCCAGCATTCACAGTAGAATCTGTGGACAGAAGCCACATTTGCCAGCTCCAGGCCTCTAACACATCTGCCACTGTGTGTAAGACACGTAGCACGATGCCTGGCATATAGTAAACACTCAAGAGGTCATTGCCTTCCTCCGTGGATTCTTAAAAGCAGCGATTCGAAGTTTTCTCTCAGTACCACAGGTAGATGATTTAATCTTGTTGGAGTAATTTGTCCCAGTAGCTTCAGTTCATATAAAGCAGGTAGGTGTTGTTATAATCTCTTCAGTTTCCTCTTAAATGTCCGTTCTAATTCGTTAAGATTAATGAATTAATCTAATGCAACAGTCAAGTGCCAATTAATTGCTAGCCATTATATTGGATATAATATACAAAGGTAAGAGACCGTTCCTGTCTTCAAGCCACTCACCATCCTTGACTGAGCACCTGTTGGTGCCCAGGACTGGGCCAGGCTTTAGGGATACAAAGATGAATAAGCCTTGCATGCATAGCCTAGTGAGAGGAGACAAGTAACAAGGAAATAACAGAAAAGTATTTTATACAAAGAGGTAAGGAAAGGAACCACAGAGAAAGTCACAATCTCCTTTGAAAGATAAGGATTTGCCAGGTGGAAGGGGAGAGGGCTCCCAGAGGGAGGCAGAGCCTGGTTCCAGGAAGAACTGCAAATAGCATGGGACCAGAAAGTGGGGCGTAAGCCCCGCCAGAATTGAGGCTGGAGAGACCCGCAGGAGCAAGGACTGGTGGGGCCTCGCTATTCTGTGCTTAGTAGCTAATCTCCTGAGCAGCTGGAGATGATTAGATCTGTGTTTGAGAAAGATCGCTCAGGAAGCACCCTAGAGAAAGAACTGGTAGGGAGAGGACTATTTCGGAGACTTGAGATACTATCTCCGAATATGAGGCAGGCTCGGAACAGTGGAGACTGGAGAGCAAGACGCGGATTTGAGAAAGTTCAAGAAGGTGGAATCTGCTGCATCAGGTTGCCGTTTGAGCGAAGAAGAAGAAAAGGGAGGTGTGCGAAATGCTTCCTGAGTGCCTGGCGAGGAGACTCCCGTAACTAATGAAGTCGCGGCGATAACCTGCTGCCGGAGATGGGTGCGCAAGGCGCTCGAGGGGGACAGTTCAGCACACCGCCAGCGGGGGGGAGGGGGGGGTTACGGGGGTTGAGAGATCAGCCTGAGATCACTCTTCTAAACGGAGAAGCGGGGAGGCAAAGAGGAGCTGAGGATCTAGAGGTCTCCTTCCTTGTCGCTTTCTAACACTGCCCCCGTGGCTCACCCCCGCGTGTTCTGTTTCCCGGGGTGCTCGGCCGCAGCTCCGCCAGGCTCGGACCCCGCCGACGCTCGGGCGGAGGGGGTGCGGCGCCCCTGGGCCAGCAGAGGGCGCTCCGCGGGCCGCGGCCCCAGAGCGGCGACATGGCCGCCGCGCGGGTGCTGCTGCTCCTGTCCGGGCGCTCGGAATCGCCGAGCTTCGCGCAGAGCGTGTGTGGCCTTCTGGGCGCCGGGCCGGGGCTCGGGCCGTGGCCCACGCACTGCGGCTGGAAGCGAGGAGGACTCGTCCTCTCGGACCGGCCGTTCCCAGGCGCCTCGGCCAGGCTTCCGCTCCAGGTGGGGAGAAGGGGGACCCGGGGGGCGGGGGCAGGAGTGATGAGTCGAAGGAGTAGACTGGGGTCGGGCGGGAGCTGGCGGGAGAGGCCTGGGGGTGCAAGGATCGCCCCGACTCGACCTCCTCCCCTTCGCGCGGCGTCGCCCGACTTTGAAGCCTTAACCCAAACGGCTCCCTCCCACCAGCGACCCCCTTTCTGCCCTTTCGCGGCCCTGGACCAGCAGCTCAGGGCTCCGGGGGCCGAGCTGCCCAGGAATCGAGGTGTGGATCTGGGTGTGGCCGTCCTTCTGCAGTCCAGCGACCAGTCTGTCTTATTAACGCGCAGGACACGCACCCTCAGCGTTTCTCCCAACCTCTGGGTACCCCCAGGTGAGTGCCCTGAGGACAAGATCCCAAGTCCCGGGGAAGGAAGTGGCCCTCACCCAACAGTGTTATTCCCAGTTTCAGAAGGACAGAGAAACAGGCCCAGAAAGGGGGTAGGTCCCCTTTTCACGAAGGATCATAGCAGCATCTGTGCCCGCGGGGGGGCGGGGGGGGAGGATAGTCCGTCGGGATCCCTGGCCAGAAACACCACCACTTACCTACTGGCCCACTGTTTTTGCAGGTGGGCACGTGGAACTTGATGAAGAGGTAACCAAACTGCTGCCCCAACCTTCACCCTGCCCTGAAACCCGAGACCTCTGGGGCTGCCCTGGGTGTGGGCTGAGGGAGGCGCACACAAAGGACTTGGTGGCGGAGTCCAGCACCTGCCCCTCTGACCTACCCTCTCTCACTCCCAGCTGTTGGACGGAGGGCTGCGGGAGCTTCGGGAGGAGAGTGGACTGCAGCTGCCCCAGGGCCAGTTCTCTTGGGTCCCTCTGGGGTTATGGGAGGTGAGACCGGACCAAGAGCCCTAAACAATGTCTTCATAGTCTACCTGTCTTGGCCACAGGGGAAACATGGCGGGGGGGGGGGGGGGGGG